ACATTTTTGGCTGTGTTAGGGTTTATGGTAGACCAAGTTAAGTCTATAAGGATGCTTGTCTCCTTTCCTAGATGTCATACTTTCTTCTGAATTCATGAGAATTCATCCCCTTACAGGACACTTTTTGATCAACTTAGAGTGCACAGACAATATAGTTATGTTAGGTGAAGATAATTAATAAACTGAGTATTTTCCGAACATTTTATTACTTCATAAGCCGTCTTCATCAGTATCTTATCTGAAAATAGGAAAAAAAGTCATTGAGTGCTTCGACTAATTCATTTACTTGGGAAACCATAATAGACCTGGAGGATTAATGACCCATGAAAATATCGACACGGATACAAAAGGATCGGTTGCTTTCGCTATGTTACGATACTTGTGGTGCTGACGTGTTGTTCAAACACCTATTAAAAGTTACTCTAACCGTAAAAAAAGTCCACTTTGTTATGAAGCACTGCTATTAAAGATGAAGGAGATGAGAAGGTTTGACACCTTCGCTTTGTATCATCGCTGGCATGTGATGAGACTACCACATCAGCATTATAGAGTTTCGGTTTAAAGTCCAAGATAAGGAAGACAAACCAGTTGATAAGTTTGTCAATTTTTGTCGACTAAGGTCGTTAGGAATATTTGTTTCTCAACTGGAGATACTATAGCAAAATAATTTCCCTTAAGTAGGATTAGGTAAAAGAAACCTAAACTAGTTGCTATGATGTAGAGTTACGAGATCAAACGAGAATAGTTAAAGCTGAAATATCGAGAGTTGAGACAATTCACCCCGAGTGAAATTAGAGGATAAGTATTCAATTAAATTCATAGTATGTCGAAATGAAGATATGTATAATTAACGAAGGATACTATGTATAGAGAACTACAATGACCTTGAAAAACAAAGGGTTTTTGTTTAGAACATCAAGAGAGGCAGGAGTTAATCAGAATACTAGCGGGTTATATGAAGTATTTTCTTCGCAAGCGAAAAAGGTGTGAAGGAATAAAATTCAAAAAGTACACTAAGTAAGTTTCAAAAAAGAAATATATGACCATCTCTGACAATAAATTATGGCACCAATCCAGAAAGCCTCTGGTCACTATTCTGAACTGTAATAGAGTTGTGACTCATTGCTTCATAGAGTTGGCTTTCAAACAGTGGATTGAGGGTTGGAACACCGTTCCAACCAGGAAATATCATTAACCTTCACATAATATGTATTGCTTATTATCTACTGCATGAATGTAGACAAAGTTACCGAGTGGATTTTGATTCTGAACCATACCGGAGGATGTTGACTCTTCTAGTTTCAAGTAGAGAAATGCCTAAATTGATCTTACTGACTTACATGTCTTCAAATTTCAGCTTTATTTAAGTAGCGATATTGTGTACCGTTATTCCCTTTATCTTATTTTCTTGTCTTATAGCCTCTTTCGACTTTTTACCATATTATTTTTTCCTAATTGCCTTATCTTCTTTGCTAACTTCAACGTTGATGTGCCAATATGAATTGTGGTAACTTGGATTGATACACAATTACTTCCAGTCTTATTTTCTGAAACTTGTGTGTCTACACTTTTGTCCTCTACATAAATGACTAAAAGAATGAAAAAAGAGAATAAAGATTATGATTATACTTGTAATTTCCCGTTGCTATACTGTGCTGAATTGCTCGACCTCTGTTGCCAGATGACCTCCTATACAGATGCATCGATGCAACCGGACATTCATGATGTTATATTCATCTTGGTAACTAGCAGAGGAATCCAGGACACACGTTTTCTCCTATTTGGGACTTGTCAGCTGGGTGTACATGTACACCAGTAAGTGATGTTGTTCTTACCGAGGCTCGAACCCAGTACCCGTCACTTCAAACGCCAGGGCGTTATCCTCTAAGACACTGGAGCACGATGAATTATTGGGATGAAACTTCGGTGACAATCTCTCTACATCTGACCACTGTCATCACACTATGCCTTCTTGGAAATCATCATTTTGTTACAACATTATTCCATATAGTTCATCTTTAAGAACCGGTATAAAGTTTCGGCACATTGGGGATTAAGCAATCATTTTCCTACCAGCACTTCAAGGTACGAAAGCTGATCGTCTTTTATGCATTCCAGTAGTGTCTTAACTGTCAGGCAATAGACGTAGTGCATTGTCTAGTACACGAACTGGTATGCACATGTTGAGCTACTCTTTTTATATTAATTTCGCTGCAGATAAATTAGTTCACGTTTTTGAAATTATTAGCAGTTATTGTATATTGCTTATCATTCATATATGAGTGAAACTTGGGCACTGTAGTGATATAACATGTAGAGTTTTCCATCTATCTAGAACAGAAACTGAATCATTCATACCAGACGTGTCACATGTTGATCCAATAAACAGAGATTCACCCAGCAATCTATCCCTCCACTGTACTGCACTTCACTATATTAGTTCCAGGGACTATCAGTCACTCTAACCCATCCTACCTTCTGTGTGTATGTATGTATGTAGGTAGTCACACGCATAACTGTGGCCAAGCATTTCCATACATTCCATCTACCACTAGTGTCTACTAAACTTGATCTAGCTAAGCTGTCGAGCTCAGACAGAATAATCGAATGTGGTCAACTACTCTGTCTGACCCATGTGTATTTGATCTCACCAATACTGCAAGTCATTCATTCATTGGTTAAACTAAACTATTTTACCTGATTGGATCAACACGATCTTCCAACCTACAAAGATACTCTCTCAGTGAGTTGCCTGACTGAAATCCCACTCGAGAACCAGTCTTATTGGCAATCCCACGCAATGTCTCTCACTTATCTTCCTTGTATCACATCACCGTAACAGTTTTCTATTCTTCTCCAACTGTATTGCCGGTGTTACTATTACTGTCGTTATTGGCAAACATATTGAACCAGTCTTATTATTGACTTGGACTTCAAACCCACCTCATGTTACGTCAGTCAAAGTAGGTTTAGTAAAATGGCTGAGTAACAATGCTAAAAATGATTATTTGCAAAACAGAAGACGTGAGACGAGAAATCAAATAGACTGAGGACACCTTCGTTATCAGTAATCAACCTCCTTAATTATTTCGTAAGTTCAACAGTGTAATTGTTATAAAAATCTAGTGGATATTGGTATGACAGGTGGTAATAACAGTAACAATGACGGTTACACTGTGAGGAGACAATCAGAAGCGTCGAGGGTGCTATGATACAAGGAAGATAAGTGAGAGACATTACGTGGGATTGCCAATAAGACTGGTTCTCTAGTGGGATTTCAGTCAGGCAACTCACTGAGAGAGTATCTTTGTAGGTTGGAAGATCGTGTTGATCCAATCAGGTAAAATAGTTTAGTTTAACCAATGAATGAATGGCTTGGCCACAGTTATGCGTGTGACTACCTACATACATACATACACACAGAAGGTAGGATGGGTTAGAGTGACTGATAGTCCCTGGAACTAATACAGTGAAGTGCAGTACAGTGGAGGGATAGATTGCTGGGTGAATCTCTGTTTATTGAATCAACATGTGACACGTCTGGTGTGAATGATTCAGTTTCTGTTCCAGATAGATGGAAAATTCTACTTGTTATATCACAAAGGAGGACAGGGAATTGAATGTGTATGTGGTAAGTCTTGAAGTCGTGGAGTTACCGTTCTATGAATGCGAACAAAATATTGTGTTCGTTATATTATGCAGTAGGTAACACTACCTCATTGTGCATCAAATCTAATGAACGAGCTGAAATGAAAATTCGTATTCGATTATACAAAAGCCACTCGTTTACTTGTCTTGTTAAGCTTCAAATTTAGTTGTTTTTCTAGACGTAATTGCTACTGAAATGAAATCTTAGTTTACCTGGTTATTATTTTCATTGTCAATTTTATTTTGGGTTTTTTTAAAATGTCTTTAAAGGGGCAGTAATATACGTTTTTTTATAGGTTTATATGTGTGCTATTGGTACTTTGATAGCTCGCATTTGTCTACATCTTATCAAGTAAATGTTGGCGAACTGTGGTTTTTTGGACTTAAAGCGTATTATTGACTCGTCAACTGTTAGATCTACGCAAACTTTTATGTTTCACTTCTTTAAGCCGTGAAGTCCAAACTTCTCTGTTATGTAGCTTATTTAACTGTCTCCGAAACACTGCATAATTAATTCTCTAGAAAGTATTGTATCTACCAGTCATCATTTAACTTTATATTACATCTGACAGAGATAGATTGTTAGGTGTTCCGCACGAGTGATGATGGGATCTGCTAATGTTATGTCTTTGGCTAGATAAGTTGAAGAAGTCCAAGTTAATGTGTTCTAATTTATCCTACGGCCACTATTGTCATACTATGTGACTCAATGAAAAGGTGAATGTAGATGGCTAGCCCACACAATAGAATATTATTTTTACTCAGCAAAAGATATAGCAAATATACAAGGTCTTAAAGCTTAGGTGGCCTAATTAGGGGCGACTTTAAAGAACAACTTAGCAACTGCTGAAATAGCCAATCAGATTGTGGTATTTCGTCTGAAAGGATAGTACCCCATAAAATAGAGAAATGCAATGGCTTATTCCAACAGTTATTATGGTGGTCATTATAGTCACTTAACTATTGATTTGAATCCAGTGTCATTTGTAGACTTTCGTTAGAGTTTAGTCTTTAGCATTTCCAAACAAGAAAAAAGAACGAAGGTTAATGAGACACATTCAAGACTTTGACAAAATATGTATGTATCTTTGCCATTGTAATCGGTTCTCAGCTATATCACAAATAGTCTTCAACTATTTATTCTTATCGTCTCGAGACTCCCAGACAGGCAAGCTTCAGCTTTTTATACAGGTTTAGATCAACGACAAAATACTTTATGAATTGAAACCATAATCTGCGTTTTCATCGATAAAACTTGTATCATTATATAGATTTTCTTCAAAAAATATGCAGCATCATTACCTTTTTTTTTAAAGTAATTACTATCTTAACACCCTGCTTTACTTTTCTAGCTGTAGATTTTTTCAATCAAATTAATATGCTATATGGAACATTAATTGAGTTTTGTACCGATGATACCTGCCCTATTATGTCAGCTGGTCCAAAATATGAATATCATTGGGCAGATGGACAAACAGTTAAAAAACCATTGAAATGCTCTGCACCACATTATATTGATTGTTTAATGATTTGGATACAAAAACAATTGGAGAATGAAGCTATATTCCCTTCAAAAATAGGTAATTTCTAGTTTCTAGTTATTCTCATTTCGTCTTTATACACTGCATATCCATTGAACCTTCATGTAGAATCGTCTGCATTTATACGGGTTTGTTGATGTTAATCTTCGTACGCCAACGGTTATATATATATATTCAGAATAATAGGATACGCACGCTTAGCTGACAGCCAACCTAGTGCGAAAGAGCCACTGACTGCAACCCCGTGAAGAATAGAGAGAAGACAGAAGCTGGAGGATGGGAGAGTTTATTACTCTGAGAGTATAATCATAAATCAATCCAAAACACGCGAATGAGTATACACATAAAATATGACCTTGTCCGCAATTGGAGGAATTCGCATAGTAAGTGTAAAAGTTAACCAATCAGCGAATTACATTACAATGATGGCAGAAAATAAACTACTGGTCATACTGTAAAATGGTGTGAGAATGCCAATTTAAAAGTGTTCAGATCGATAACAATGTTTTATACAAACTGGTGCCTTACAACAGTTGACTAAACAGTAAAGTCATATGGCTGTCAAAACCTGTCGACCAAAATGTACTACAGCTTTGCTAGTGACCCTAAGTGATATGATTCCTCGGTGCATCGTATTTGAGGCTGCACGTTTTTTCAATTCAGTCGACTGGAATTGTTGCTTTTTACAAGTCTTGTAATTGCTAGTATTCTCCCCAACAAAGTGTATATCTTCAACCTTAAAGAAAGTCATGTTGTTTAGAAGACTCAATTTTGTGGTCTTTCAGTTCCCTGAAGTTGAAAATTCACCACTAAGCTATTGAGATTATAGCTAAACCTCTGTAGGACTTTTTTATGCGTATACTATACTGAAGATCGCAATCGACAAATTCTCCTTGATACAAGTTGAGAACTGTACAATATATTCATTCATTCTCTTGCTCGTTTGCTTGCAAAATTTTCTATGAGCGGTCAGTTACTTAATATAAGCGTAAAACTTGGGGACTATGGTAGACTTTAGTTCCATTTTTAATTTATTGGACGTGTATCACACAGTGGAATAGTATTGTTTGATAGATTACGTTTCGGACACAAATTATCTCCCATAGTCATATTAAGATAGCTCTACAACTTTGAGACATGGTTTATATAGGTCTTATTCTTTCGCCTTATTTGCGATATAGGCAGAAAGATTTTCCATTTGTCCGGAACTGGTTCTGAGTTATTCTTGTGCGTTTGTTTAGTGTTGATTCGATAAGCAGAGATTCAGTTATCAATCTCTCCCTCCATATTATTATGTTAATTTTAAGGATTATCACTCTATCCTACCCTATTGTGTGATTGCATCCACAGTTATGGCCGAGTTTTTGTCTAAATTCCTTATCCTACTGGGATCTACAATTTTTGATTTAACTAGGTTTTTGTGCTCGGATAACTTAAGTGACTCTGGTCGATTACTTTGACCTATGCATTTGACCTCATAATCATTTTCTGCTAGAATCTGGTCAATGTTTTATACCTATAAACTGGTAGTACTGGATATTCGGGATTTAATTCTCAGACATAACGTGTACTTTGTGAAACATGCAGATACACTTTATTCCATATGTGTAGTATCAAGAAACATGAAGTCTAGATTATGAGCCTTCAATTAACTACCAACAGCCAATCAACATCAAATACAATTCATTGTGTCATATAGCGGAAATTGGTCAATATTATTCGGTGGTTGACAAGAACCAAAGTATGGGTAATTCTTGCCTGACTAACGATTGACCATAGTTTCCTGTTCATCTTAAGCTTCTAACTGTTTTCTAACTTTCATACTGATTTAGATATCAAGTTTTACGCATGTCTCATGTACCTGAGATGGTTAGATACTTAAAGATCGTACTGTACGATTATTTTTGAATAAACAAGTAGGTTAATTTTGATATTTCTAGCTAACATTTCTACAGATGACATTGTAGATATGGCTCTGAAATATTCACGCTTGATAAACCGCTAACTCATTGAATGAGAGTAGGATTTTGACATCAATTAAACGGATGATTTTTTTTTCATCATCTTTAATCTCTTATGTAACATATTGTCATGATCATGATGTCACTCGTCATCAATTTACTAGGCTATAAGTTATACATAATGTTTGAGGCCTAGGGGCCAAATCTAAGAAGGATAGTACAGAGTTTCAATCCGAACTGATTGATTTAATTCCAAGTGAAAGTGTACAAGATATTAAACTAGTAATCCGAAAGTTAAATTTTGAGGGAGTTGTGGAGATTTGGAAATATTTCAAGTTGTTATTCATCGAAGACTGACATCAGTTGGACTAAACAGGACGAAACGGCTGTCCAGTGCTTCCAGGTTTCCTTTGTTCCTCCAACTGATATCAGTCTTCGATGAATAACAACTTGAAATCTGAAAGTTGTTAATTTTCAATCCTCTTATGATCCAAGATTTTTCATATTCATTATACATTTCACACTTTATATTTCTATTATTAACAAAGACACTTGAATCAAAAGTACATACAAAATTCTGTTTTTAAAACCATAGAGTAGTACAATGCTATTTATACTGTGCATCACTAAACGTGATAGATGTGTGTGAGAGAGAGAGAGAGAGATGATCATCCGATTTTCTGTATTGTAATTGACTATTACGCATGAGGCCACTTTTATGCAATAAATTGGACACAACTTACAATCATCAGATCATGAGAATATTTCTTTCTTTCTTCAAGGTCACTGTCATTGTCCTTATAATAAACTCCCTTGTTTATTTATTTATTTATTTATTAGATTAAAATAAGCAATTCAAATTTTTGTTCTGAGCATGAAATGTTACCGTTTTGTAGGCATGTTTATGTACATGTTCTAATTAACTGTTATTCAATTAATACAATTTAAAGGAAACTTCTACTTGATAACACCTTCCTAATAATCAATCGAACCTATCATTGTATATCGGCTAGCAAGAATCGAATGAAACAGAACTTGTTTTATTCAATCAAATTACATTGTAGAGTACTATCATTTTAGTTTCATCCGTAAAGTCATTTGTCTTCATTTCAAGTTCAATTGACTGCATACACTATCCGGCTGAAAGAGGAGGAAACGTTGATTACCCAACTAACTGCTTATTGACTTTTACTGGCGAAATTATTTTCTCCTTTGATTGTATTTAAATGTCTTTGTAAATTAATTAGTCCAGTAGATAAGTTTGCAAGCAGTGTGGAAGTTGACACTGATAATCTTGCTTAGAATGACGACGGAAACTTCATCAGTAGACTATCAAGTTCAGGGGAATGCGTAAACGCCAAAATCATCGACCTATGAGCTACACATCTCATTCATTTGAACGTAAAATCTTGTACAAAAATGTATTATTTCAAGTTGTCATACGCTTATTGCATATTCCCATGCAGTTTCTGGACTATTGTATGGGCCATAAGGTTGGACTCTACCCTCACCTATCGAGAATATGGCAGTCAGGAAGTATTATTAACCTTCCTCCACGACTTATAACCTGATCTTTGAATTTGTATCTGTTTGATAAGCTACATCATCATTCGACTCCGCTTTTGAACACCATTATATACCCCATGTGTTTCAGACTGATTATATAGCTAGTATCATACTAATGGCTTTCTGCGATAACTGACGTATATCTGTTACCTTCGTTGCCCTGTCTTTTTTACTGGCCTTGGCATCATCATTTTCACCACTTAACTAATTCGGCTCTTGTTGATTTCTTCTCGCTGATGGGCTAATCTAAACTTATTGATAACACTTTAGACGCATTCATACCAAATTCTTATTGTTTATCGTAGATTGCTTATCCCTAAGTCAGGTGCACATCTAATCTAAGCCCCTCGAATAACTCATGACTAAAGTTAGGGGTTGATATCTTGACTACACTTCATCTGTGTATACAGAATGTGGTCTGGTCATTTCACGTCCACCTATGTTTGCAGTTGTTTAACATCATCTCATTTTTTGTCTCTTATAGTTAACCTTTATCATCGTCTTCTTATCAGTACACTTTTAATTCACCTCTGTAAAAACAGCCCGCAGTAATAAACCGTATGCATACCGATGTGTTCAGGTTATGGAGGGCGTGTGATATCACTCGACTTCTCAGACCTCAGTTGACAGAGTGGCATTCTTGCCTTTAACCCATTACTGACTGCAGATCGACTGCTTAAACGAGCCAACCTCAAGATATTATAAGTGGATATGTATACGCATTCTTGGTGTAGATAATATTATTTGCATAAGAAGAGATTCTTTTGGTGCTGTAATTAATTTCTGACAACTAGTTAGGTTAAATTCTTCATAATATTCAGCGTTGTGTCGATGTTGTATGTTTGTGTAAATATTTCTTATCAAGTTACATGTAGTGGTGCATTATCGTATCGCATATATATGTATGGTATGTGCTTTGCACCATTAAAGTGTAAAGTACTCTTGCAAGATTGGCAGGAGCCTATGCCTGCGCCCACCCTCCGTGGTGAGCCGTTGAGAGTAGTCGAAAAGTTCATGTATCTGGGTAGTTGTGTGATTGTTGGTGGAAGTGTGAATGGTAGAATTTCCAACCGTATATCGAAAGTGAGACGTTAGTCTGACTGTAAAAGGTCGTGTTTTACAATGCTTCGGTGCGAACAGTTCCGCTCTACGCCTATGAAACCTGGCCTCCCCGAGCCGAGGGCATGCAACAACTCTGTGTTGGATCATTGTCGTCTCCGTAGGATTGCTCGTATCCGGTGTCAGCATCATGTAAGTAATCCTAAGGTACGACAGCCTATATTTGGGCATGATAGAGATCGTCACTCAATAAGTGAAGTTATCTGAAAACATCGGCTTCAGCGACTTGGACATGTGTTATGCATGTTGTCCCAATGGCTTCCATACTGCTCATTGTTTGCTAACCCTGGGACTGGATAGAAGAAGAGGAGGGATGACCAGTGTATGACTTGGCGCCATGGGATGAAAGATACTTGTATTGGGTTAATATCTGTTGGTGAATCACGACTCTCC